GAATCGAAACATTGATAACATGAAAAAAAAAAAAAGAAAAAAAATGAAGCGAGCGATTGATCGTTGAGGTCGTTCTTTGTGTTTTTTTTTCCTTTTTTTTTTTTTTTTTTTTTTTCTTTTTTTTTACAGTGATCTTTGACTCTCTCCGTAACGTTATGCAATGATTACTCATCCGTGTCCTTTCAATTGACATTTCATTCGCGCGTCATTTTGTTACAGTTTTCTATGTATGTACGACGTTGATGCGTTACTTTATTTCGTCGATGCGTTGCACATTTCACGATCGATCGGATCGAATAGAAAAGAAGAAATCGTTCCAAATCACATGTACATTGCTCGTAATGACGTTCGAACGAAGAGTCAGAGACAGGCTTGCCTAAACGGTTCGTCTACGCTCGATTCTATAAGACTAGATTGGCTGTTGACGTGTAAATATATTCCATTATTTTTCCACGTTCTTACATACGAAAAAGTCTGTTACGATTGTAAGCGTAAGGTTCCTAGATGTAACAGCTGTTTTCCTCATTTTCTATCGTTTCGATCGACGACCAGTTCGACGGCGAGTCTGTGTCTGCACCACACGTTCCGACAGATTAAGGGAACAGCTTGAAAAAAAAAAAAGAAGAAAATCGTTCCAACAGGGTCGAAACCGAACGTTCGAGTTCTACAGATTCTCAACGTTGTGAGCAAACGCATGAGGAAAAGCGGCTGGCCCAAAATGCCAGTGACGTGAAAACGGTGACGGCCGAAACAGGCCAATTTCGAACGTGTTCGGATGGACAGCCGCTGGCAAACTTGATCCACAACTTCAATACGATATTCACAGCTAGATATATCCACGTTTCTCGTTTTCACGCTGTTAATACAATACTCGACAGTCAATCGAATCTCTAATCAATTAGAGTTAACCTCGTAACGGTAGTCAATAATAAAAAAAAAAAAAAAAAAACAAAAAGAGAATGATCTATATGATTATCGGAGCGCGTCGTTCTTCGTCACGGCAACGAATTTCTCGGGGAAAAAAAAAAAGAAAACCAGAGCGTTCCATCTGAGACGAACGTATTTTGGTACATTTTGGTGTCATTGATATATTTCGAATCGAAACATTGATAACATGAAAAAAAAAAAAGAAAAAAAATGAAGCGAGCGATTGATCGTTGAGGTCGTTCTTTGAGTTGTTTCTTCCTTTTTTTTCTTTTTTTTTTTTTTTCTTTCAAACAATTACTCGACTGCAGATTTTCATTCATTCGAAGAGAGATGTTTAAAGATGCACGAAAGTACAGAATTAAAATAGAACTATCGAATACAGTATGTGGTTGTTATAATGTTCATCAGGTGAAAAGAAATTTTTCTTTTAATTGCAAAAGTTGAAAGAAAGAACGTACAAGAATTTATAAATGTCCGTTTAGGAACGATTTAAGTCATCGTTGGTATCGTATTCGTAAAGCGTCGTAAATGTCTGCGGATTTTATATATTTTCGAAATTTCGTTTCTCTCGGCGATCGACGGTGTTAACTCGATCGGGGCGTGTATCATGAAAATTCATTGCTGTCTCGAAGAACGTTCTCAGCGTTGAAAAAGTATTCGAAAACAGCACGACTTCCTCGATTTGTTTTCTTGTCGAGTTCGTGGACAAGAGAACACACGGTAACATGGAGTTAATTGTTCGATGTTTTAAAGAAAAAAAAGGAAAGAAAAGAAAAAAAAGAAGGAGAAGAAGAAGAAGAAGAAGAAGAGGAGGAGGAAGGAGAAAAAAGAAGAAGAAAAGGGGAGAATGTAGGATGTGGCAAACCGCAGAACTGATGAATAAGCGAATACAAATTAAAGTTAGATCGTCGCCGTAGTGTTAAACTTAAACTAAAGCAGAAAAAAAATTTACAAAAGCAAAAAAAAGGTACGAAAGGTAAAAGAAAAAAAAAAAGAAAAAAAATGGTGTAATTATTAACGATATTAACGGTAAACAAGCAGTCGACGCTATTTTTTAGATACGTAAACGAGTTAAGCCAGGACCCAGGACGATCATGCCTCGGTCTCGCCCGGTGAAAATTAGTTTTTTTTCTTTTTTTTTCATTCCCCCTTGTTCAACGTCGTGACGGACGTATAATTTTTTATTGGCTGTGCGCTCGAACTTCGAGCCGAGTTATAATCGAAGCGTCGTGCACGTGCACGACGATTAAACCTGGGTTAAAATCACCACGACACGGAACATTGAAAATCACTTTTACGTAAGTACGAACGACTGATCGTTCGATTCAAGCAAGCTATCCAGCCATCTATTAATTTCCTCGTTTTCACGGATCTGTTTAGTCACTCGTCGATTTGCGTCGTACGCAGTACCAAAGAACTATTATCTAACAGGTATACAGAGCCCTGGTGAAACTTATCGCTTCATAGCCGTACTAATGTTAGCTAAACGAACAAACGAGTCGAATGAACTAGGAATGTAGAGAAAACAGAACGAAAAACCGCGGTGAAAATTCGTTCTCCTTGTTCCCTCTCGTTAACAGGAGAGAGGCCGATCGCTATTTCGATTCGTCGCGTTATTATTAAATGTTTAGGAGACTCTAAAGAGGACCAAAGTACTTAAACGTAACTACGCCGAAGCCGCGGCACCCTTAAACGCAGCGATAGAACATAAATCAATGTCGTCTTTTCGCCGGTTGTCAATAAGCAAGCGAACCAAGAGTACCAGTGAGGCAGGGAAATGAGGTGTGGAAACGGTACGAGGGAAAAAGAAAGAAACGGTGAAAAGAGTGAAATAACTCGGTAAGGGTGCTGGCTGCTAAAATTCCGCACGTTCAAAGGAAAAAGAAAAAAAAAAAAGAGAAAAAAAAAGGAAAAAAAACACGGTAAAAGAGAACAACGAAGCCAACACGGGCAAAAATTGCCCGCGTAATTATAATTAATTAACTTACTAGACCGATATATGCTATATGTATGTGTATATGTACGTATATGTTAGTCAAATTTTCGCTACACCGAAACTTTTCGCGAGAACGATCGCCTCTAATTAATCTCGAGATGCAAATGTTTCTTTTCTTCTTTTTCTTTTTTTTCTTTTTTTTTTTTCCAAAGAAAAGAAACGATTGGTCGAACTCTGTTTCCTTGAAATACAAATCGTACCGATCCTCTGCGACGACGTCGCCTTCGCCGAAATATAGTTCACTGTATTTTCTAGATAAATGTCATTTCCCCTGTGACGACGAGTCGAGTGCAAGATTACGATACGGCAGTTCGTTTTTTTTTTTTTTTTTCTATTTTTAAACGTGGTTTAAAGGATGAAATTATTCGCGGCGACGCGACGCAAGAGGATAGTGAAAAATGAGTTATCCGCTGCACGTTTAACGGATAATTTTCAGGCATAAGAAACGGATTACCCTTTACTAAATCCAATTATGAAATTAATTAGAGCGCGATCCAGAGCTCGCCTCCGTACGCGATAATTTAGATTCCGCTTGAATTTCATGCAGAGTCGATAAGTACGAAACCTGCACGTTACCTGCGCCATCGTATCATTTTCGCACGTACGCAAAGAGAAGCAAATGCAAATGCAAGATGTGAACGAGCAACGTTCAGAGAGAGAAAGAAACGCATCCGTGAAACCAGTACTTTGTAGAGAAGCAGGCATGATCATCAGTAAACCTGGCTTTAGCGAATGGGATTTGAGAAAATGAAAACGGGGAGAAAAAAAAAGGGGGGGAAAAAAAGAAAACGTAAGATAGACAGAAAACATAAGATTTAGATTAGTGTGATACAAGGTACGACAAAGCAATAATTTAGTGATTGTATGATATATTTGATTAGTGAGTTAGCGAGCTAAGTTTAAATGGTGAACTTTCGAAACCTATAAATACCTACTTAATAAATCGTATAGTTTTGTAGAAATGCTGAGAAGATTCGCCACTTCAGAGATGAAAACCAAAAAAAAAAAACAAAAAAAAAACAAAAAAAAAAAGAAAAAAAGGAAAAAAATATGAAAACGCTGTCTTGGGATCAAAGATATAGTGACGAAAGGGATTAGTAAATAATATGTAGAACTGACGATCGATGATGAAGTTTTTGAACGATCTTTTTTTCTTTTTTTTTTTCTTTTCTTTCTTCGATTTCGAATTCGTCATTTTCCTTTTGTCCTTTTTATATACTACTCATTAATGACCATTAATATATATATATGTATATGTATGTAAACATCACACACAAAAGTCCAAACAAAAATTATTTTCGCAAAAACTTTATTATGCTAGTTACGTTACTTTTTTTTTTACATATTTGCAAAAATTCGCAAACAAAAACATTTTTCAAATAAATCTGCGGCTATTCAAAACATTTTTTATTAACATTATTTGTTGTAAATATTAAAAAGCACTTCGGTACAATTTTTATGCGAAATTTTGCGCGTGATTTTGCTTTTACAAATACGAACGTTGCAGATGTTTACATACAAATTTCTTTGCTTACGCGTAAACTTTTATTTAATTGTTGGAAACTTCGAATTTTGCATACTGTCTGCGTTCCGTATTAGAAAGCATCAGATCGACTAGAAACGAATGTATTTTTTTTTTTTCATTCCATCAGCTATAACACTAATAGAGCATAACAAGCATTGATTGGATTAATTCGGGAATATGAATTTATTATCAATTATTAATTCAGAGAATGGTGAAGCATTGTAGTCTTCCTTTTTTATACAATGTGCATGCTCAAAACTAATTACGTAATTATACAGTATGCAACAAAAAAACAGAATATGTACGTGCAAAAACCAGCCAAAACGTAAGTAGTAAATTGTGTCCGCTGTTCTTCGCATTTCTAATTATTTCTGATGGGAACAATAACACGGAACGCGTATAAAAGTAAATACCAGCAAATATTTCGATTAAACGATACTTTTCCTTCAGGGCAAAACGTTCAAATAATATTCCCAAGAGCGTCTCGGTTCATAAAAATAATTTTTAAAGAAAAAAAATCCCAAGACTGATATAGTGGATATCGAGGTGCATGCACATGTATTGCTCCGATTTGTTTAAACCCACGTCTAAATGAGCTCAAAACTTATAATCTTACGGAGCTCATTTTTTTTTGGATGTTTTCACTTCGTGAATAACGCGAGGAAAGAACGAGAGGGAGAGAAAGTGAGCGAGTGAGTGAACAAAGAAAAGAATAATCGGAGATCCGCAATTTTCCACATTCATAGATACATTTTACTCTCTGTTTCCGTAGATGTTCTTTTATTTTTTCTAGAAATAAATATTGTACAATTTGTTATATACTGTAATGATCGTTAATAATATTTTATATTAATCGCTTAACAATTTAATTTCCAAAAGAATTCCTTACAGACACAATAAAAATACAGTACGTTCACGATGTCACAAGGATAAAAAGATTTGTTCCTAGAGTCATGACTTTTATTGACAAAAAGAGACCTTCATCGTATCGAAGCATTTTCAATCTTACCAAGAACATTGCCATAAACTATTATACCTTCATATACGAAGAATGCAAGTAGAACAATTTTCATTTTTTTCATCAGTTCGTCTTTCTCTTATCGGATAATTGTTATTTTAATATACATGCGTTATATTTTATTGGATTATCATTACCACGGAAATTCCGCCAAAATGGAACCCAACAATTAGCGATAAAAAAAAACAATAACATACCAAAATTATCAATGTACTTAAAATATTTAAGGATAAAAACAGTTTAATTGCACTACATTTGTAAACTTTATTAATTATACGTTGCAAAAAAATGACGTGAAAAAACGCTGTTGTTCATTTCACCCTCGTCACTTCACTTATCTAATCTTAAAAAAAAAAATAATAATAAAAGTTAATACATAACCGTATTATCCTATTACAGTGCGCCTTTTAATCACTACGCTATAATTATAAGAAAACTCTTTTAATAATTTATATTCAGTATTATGCATTTTTTACACAATTTAGTTTTTGTTACAAAAAGGCTCTGTTATACAATGGATCATCTTCATGTTAAAGGTAGGCAATATTAAATCGGTACAATCTTATTTTGGGAAAATAGTACTTAATTTCATTGATATTTAGAAGCTTCACATTTTGCGAATTATAATATTATCATTTATAATCAATGCAGTCAAGTGCATATATGTCACTATTACAAATATGTCATTTCAAACTATAATACAAAGTACTTAACAGATTATAGTCCATAATAATATGGCTTATAATCGCTGTTGTGGTTGATTTTGAGAGCTCATTCCGGAAACTGGTTGCGATGTGGTGTCTGAATCGGTTTCATTCTTTTTCTGATCCTTCGATTTGTTCCATTCCTGTAAACCTTTCGGTAATGAAGTATCCTCTTCGAATGATCCTGTACCTTCTACAAACTGTTCGTAAGTTGACTTTTCAGGGAACGGCCTAGGACCTAATAACTCTATCATATCTTCTCTACTTAAAATTTCTTGCTTTAATAGTCGTTCGGCCACCTAAATAAACAGTAATCATTCGTTCAGTACAATCATAAAAACTAATTTACTCCTTTCACAAATCAAAGATGCTTTATACCTTAGATACATTCTCTTTATGTTCCGTAAGCAAATCACGTGTGTGATTATACGCTCGTTCGATTAACTCGCGTACTTCAGTATCAATAAGTTGTGCAGTATATTCAGAATATGGTTTGTCGAAAGACATTTCACCTTGTTGTGGCATTTGAAAACTGACATTACCAACCTTTTCGTTCATACCATATTGAATAACTTGAGCATACGCATTGGCAGTTACCTAATAAAAACAAATTCAACATTAATAAATTGCCTACATATACTGTAATTTCACAGAAAAAGAAAATATATAGCGATATCTACTTTTTGTAGATCATCTTGCGCTCCCGTTGTAATACGACTGAAAAAGATTTCTTCCGACACTCGTCCACCAAGTGCCATACACATTTTATCAAACAATTGTTCTTTTGTATAAAGATACTGTTCATGAGGTAAATACTGTGCATAACCTAAACCTTTCCCTCGTGGAATTATAGAGACCTGTCTTGCCAAAAGAATATAAATAAGATTACAATAAAATATGATTATTTTTGGAATTTAAAAATCACCTTCAACAGTGGGTCTGCATATCTCAAAAACCAGCCTGCTACTGCATGGCCTGCTTCATGATACGCAACCGTTTTCTTTTCTTCGGGTTGCAAAACGTTCGTCTTCTTTTCCATGCCTGCAATAACTCTTTCAATGGCCTGTTCAAAATGTTTTAAGTAAATATTATCGCTCAAATCTCTCGCTGCTATTAAAGCTGCTTCATTACAGACATTAGCAATATCAGCTCCTAAAATCAATTACTTATAATATTTTCAATGTATATATTTAACATTCTTTCTCCAATTTTTTTTAAAAATATGTTTATAATTAATTCCACATTTCCTACCTGTAAATCCAGGCGTTAAGGAAGCCATTTTTCTAGCTAATTGTTCTTTATCTATTGTGATTTTCAAAGGTTTTAAGTGTACTTTGAAGATAGAAGCTCGACCCTTAATATCTGGAGCAGGAACGTAAATTTGTCTATCAAACCTTCCAGGTCGTAACAAAGCTTTATCTAAAATATCTATCCTATTAGTTGCCGCTAATACAACTACATTAGTAGTTGTATTAAAACCTAGAAAAAAATATTACTCGATCAAATATAAATTTAGTATAGTAGGAAAGCTGATATTATCAATTATTATAGCATACCATCCATTTCAACTAGAAGTTGATTAAGCGTATTCTCTTGTTCCGAGTGACCACCAAAGTTTCGGCCCCCTCGTTTTCTTCCAACGGCATCGATTTCGTCAATGAATAATATACATGGTGCGTGTTTCCGTGCCAACGCAAACATATCTCGAACTCTTGATGGACCAACACCAACAAACATTTCCAAAAATTCAGAACCTGATACACTAATAAAAGGTACATTTGCTTCACCAGCTGTAGCTTTAGCTAATAATGTTTTACCAGTACCCGGTGGACCTATAAATTATAAAATTTCTAAATTTTTATCCTTAACTAATCCAAATCCAAGAAAAGTTATTTATGCTTAAACTATATATATACTTACCCGTTAGCATTGCACCTTTAGGAATCTTAGCACCAAGCTCTATATATTGTTGAGGATTTTTTAAAAAATTTACAAATTCCATAATTTCAATCTTAGCTTCTTCACAGCCAGCAACATCCCTAAATTTTAATAATACGCATAGAAATATTTATGGAAATTTTATAGCAAAAAAGATGATAAGTGAAATATTACTCAAACATGATATCCTTAAATTGAATTGTATAATTGCACACAACTTTTTCCTACTCTACAGACAGACTATTTGTCAAGCGTTTTAACTGCATGTTCGTTGTTCTTCTATCTGCTTTTGTTACTTAATACCTCTTGTTTTTTTCAGTGTGTTCATTTCATCTTAAAACATTCTAGGAAATATGGCAAAAGAGCCCAGAGTAGAAGAAAATTGTCTACAATTCATATTATCTTTTACTATATAATCTATTAATATTAAATTTATGTATAAAATATAAAGTATAATCTAAATGGATAATCTTTTGAAATGCAAATGTATACACACTGTGCAATAACATTTGTATTAACTTACTTAAATCTTACACCAATATCTTTGGAATTAACCATTTTTGCGGTTGACTCCATCAATGCACCAAAAAGTCCACCTTTCCTTCCTTTGCCAAATGATTCTGCTGACTTACGGAATAAATAAAATAAGCCACCTGTAAATAACATTTGACATTACATCTAACTATAATTTAAATATTTGTCACAACTATATATCTATAGAAAAATAAGACCTTACCATACATGAGCAACTGCGGTATAATTTTTCCAATGTGATATAATTCTATCTCATCTTTGTATTGTACTAATATATAATTTTGTGGCTCGATATTTAAATCAATTTGGGCATTCTCCAAATTTCTTTCAAAAGTTTCAACACTACCGATATTAAACCATACTTTATCCTATAAAACGCAAATAATTGTTATGTAACTTACATACTATTATAACCTACTCATTTAACTATCAAACTCAAATTAAAATACCTATAGACTTACTTTTCCATTTACATAATTCCCAGGTGTTAACTTGACACGGGCCCACTGTTTATTAATAACTTCTACTTTGTCCACTATTCCTTTATCTAAATATCTAAATAAAAGTAACATAAAGTATTTGCAAGAAATTTTTTTACATTGAATATGTCTATAAAAAACTATTATAATTAATTTACTTTGTTACAAATTCTTTCCATGTGATTTCTAGTGGTTGATTTGATAATTGTAGTAAGTACAGATAAAATAATCCCATTAATGCCGCACCAAGAAAAAATATTTTTTCATTTTTCTTATCTCCAAATGATTTATTTCCTCCATCCCACTTAAAATTCCATGAAAATGTACGTTTATCACTACTCGAGGAATGCATACTTGGTTTTTCTGATTGCATTTGAGATGATTGTGACTCTGAAGCTTGCTTAGATGGTGCCTCTTTAGCTTTTTCAGTAGTTTTACTAGAATCTTTTTCTACAGATAAAAAAGTTAATTTTTTCTATAATCTATTTTTTACAGACTAAAGCAAATTAACAAATACAAAATAATAACTTGGTTTAAAAAATTTTTCAAATCCTTTTGGTGGTTCATTGCATAATAATCTCCATTGATTTCGTAAACGTTCCAATGTACTTGTTCCTTTATCATTTCTTACCAATGATAAATATCTTCTTAACTGAAAAAGATTTTATAATATACAATATAATAAATAAATATACTAAACAATTTATTATAGATTCATATTTATTATAGATTCATTTACTACACTTGTAAAACAGAATCTACTTTATTACTATAGTTAATAATTTAAAAAAAACTTTAAAGATAAAGATTCACATTTAATAATAATGGTATCATGTACATATTAAAAAAACATTAGAAAAATTTCAAATATTACTAGTTTAATTCTTACGTTTGTACATGTAAATAAATATGTAGGTAATAATAAAAAATACGGAGAAAAATAAAAATTAAATGTACCGTAATTAGTATAAAAAACATAAATTAATAGCAACATGTAAATAATCAAAATTTTAAGATGAATAGAACTTTATTAAAGAAATCATTCATTCCAAAACACAGAGGTTATGTTAGATCATATTTATACCTGAAATATATTGGCATTTTTGTAAACAGAGTTCAGAACAAATCTTTCTAATTTACTTGTCGAATATAATAGCTGATGGGCCATATTTGTTGTAAGTTTCTGTAATCACGTAATATGATGAAATTTCGTAGTTTCCACACGGTCCTTGTAATAGATTACCGGCCACAAGACATTGTTGCAATAAATATCCCCAGCTTAATCCTTATTTCTCGTTTACAACGCGCAACAGAAATCTACACTTATATTCTTAAAACAAGCATTTATTGGTTATTTAATTTTGCGAGCAGAGAACTGACTAATCAATGACTTTATCGACTACTAGGGTATTAATTTTATCTATAACTAAAAATAGGGAAGATAGAAGATATTTTTAATGTTCTAAGAAATATTATTTTTATTGAAGCACATGCTTAATCAGTGTAATGTTCAGCCAAATCAAATGTATTTCATCAATTTATGTAAGGTATCAAGATAATTTTACATTTTCTATTAATCACCGATTTAATAATTTTTTTAACATCAGTACTAGTTACACATTTTTCTAAAAACGAAAAATAATAATAAAATTTATTCATAAATAAATAGAAGGAAACATTGCACACGAAAATACTTATTAATATATCGTTTTATGTAAATCTAAAACGATTTTATGCTTATGCACGCATACACGGAACATTTTATTATGCATATACATTATGTCTGCATATGCACATGTCACTGTCAATATAGATATTATAAAAAACAAATATTAATGAGTGTTAGACAAATGATAATAATTCATATGCTAACTTTCTGTTTGTGAATAATTTGAATTTTCTTCGATACTTATAGCACAAGGAATATACTCTTGCCCTGATTCCTGAAACATAAATTTTATATACATATATATATTTTACGTAATTTTTATGAAATGTTTTTAAATAATTTAAATGGTTTTAAAAATAAACAGATAAAAAACATACTGAGTTAACAATAATTTGTCGCTCTTCCTCTATATTCAGCCCATCCATATCTTCTGCTGTTAATATTATCACAGAATCTCCAGGTATACTATTTTCATCTATATAAGTTATAGGAATTTCTGATGAAACCTGTAATTTTATTAATTTTATAATTTCATTAATAATCGTAAAATTTGCAACATGAAAGACAATAAAAGATATTGACAACTCCTAATACCTCGCAATATGTAAAATCAGATCCTTCTTCTACCTTCATGTTATGTTTAGAATCTGCTATTCTTTGCTTCCTCGAGTTTAATGAACGCTCTGACTTTTTACTATCTTGTTGGAGCCGTCTCCATATTGTTGTTTTTGGAATATGATATGTCATTGACGCTGCTGCTTGCGACATTTTTCCTCCTTTACAAGCAGCAACAGCTTCTTCTAAACGAGACCTTTTTAATTCTTCATTTTCTGTCTTACGTTTCTTCCAAAATGACAATGGTAATTTTCCTTCATCCACCAATCGTGCTTTATCTCTAAATAAAGTAGTTTTCGGAATCTAAAAATATAATTATCACTATTGCTTTCAGATTAATCACAAGCGAGCATAAATAAAATGTTAAATAATTTACTTTAAATTCAAGTGCAACTTTTGTTAAATTCTCCCCTCTTTCTAAAGCCTTAACTGCAGCTTCCCGTTTATCAGATCCATAAGACCTTTTCATTTCTGAACGTAATATTTGATATCCTTCTTTCTGAATCCTTCTCCATAATACAGTCTTTGGTATACTAAACGTTTCTGACGCGTGCTGCAAGCTTGATCCACCTATAATAAATATAAATTAAGTTGAACGATACCATAAAATTAATATTTAACAGAAATATTGAAAGATACCAACCAATTACAGCATTTATAGCAGCTTTCATACATTCTGCAGGATATTCGTTTCTTGATGCGTTTAAATGTATACCTAATGCTTTAGCACGCATATACAAAGTTGAACGTGGTATATTATGTTTAGTAGAAGCTTCTATTAATGTTTGACCTGCTTTTAAGTCATTGATTGCTGATGCTAGCATATCATCGCTATAATCTCTTTTTGTTGTATCGCGTCTACGTTTCTTTTTTTTATTCAACATAGAATTGTCAATGACCTCATCTTTTTGTTGATTCTCTAAGTCCTCATAATTATGTTGCAATGCATCAATAACATTTTCTTCAGCCTTGCCAATTACAGTCATTGAATCTTCGTTATTATCATTAAAATTCCTATTGTTTACAACAGAGTAAGTTTCTTCAAGCCCATCAATCTATGAATAAAGAAACAAAATAATAATGAAAAAAAAAATATTTCTATTTTATTCTCTTTAGATAATAACTAACTTCGTTAAGGCCGCAAATCTTTAAAGAACGTGCAGCATCCAACAAACTACTAATATTTTCAACTGGAACTCTCACTTCTCCATGGTAAATAAATTCTATAATAGACTTTATATCTTGAGCAGATATATCGCTTAATATTATTGTTGAATGATCTTCATTTACTTGGCTCAATATTTCCTACAAATAAAAAATCATACATTACCATACAGATCATACTACATAGAAAATTAATCTAATCTTTCAAATATAAATTACATGTTTCTAAACAAAAGTAAAAGAAAATAGTCCATACTTATAAGAATGTTGTAAAGCGTGTAATAAATAGTTCATTTTGTATTATATTCAACAAAAAACATTAAAACTTATACAAAAATGAAATTGAACAAATTAAATTTTAATCACTGAATGAATGAATTGCTTAAAAATAACTAAAAGTAATCAAGTTCAAATTCAAAATTGATGAGGTGTATTCTTAAAAGTGCAAAGATTGTTTACTCGAAACAAAGTGCTACAAGCACTAAGAACTATGCGATGAGCATGAATGCGTTCCCCAGCTGCAGCCAGGGTAACGTCCACCATACAATCTTCCTCTAAAAGTTGTCTAACTACATCAGAAAGATGATTCTGATAATCATTCCATTTGAACCAATAACTCTGATTGATCTCATGTTGGTTAGCAATTTCGGACATGCCGTTTCAGTTTCGTTTCCTTTTCAGTGTCAATAATTCGTATACAACCGGAATTTGGAACAGGACTGAACTCTTCACAACCAAGATATACACTTCAATAATAATCGTGGCACTTTTCAAAAAACTTCAATAAACTTTAACTACTTTTTTGCAATCCTAATATATAATATATATATACATATATACATATGTATATACATATACATGTGTGTGTGTATGTGTGTGTGTATACTTTAAACTATTTTGCATACGTGTTATATTCATGTACAAACGCTTATTTAGAAATCAGATATAATAATAAAAAATTGTATTAGAACTGATTGCCAGTTAAACGTATATTATGATTGGTTGATTGATACATATATAATTTGTACCGAATTTAACAACAGGAGAATATTTTAATTCAATACTTAACAAAAAGTATATAATTAAATATAAAAATAATCTGTTGCTTAAACAACAATTAATTCTATAGTTGTAACTAGAAATATTTAAATTTCTAGTGTCTCAACTATTATGTAAATTTAAGCAGTTGGTACAAATATATATACAGAATAGTCGATTCTTTGTATGTGTTAGTAAACTCATGTTCTTTTGTATGTGGGAATTTCGTGATTGCTTTGAAGTAACGAAGTGTTTGTGTTTGCTAATTTTTTGACCAATTTATTTAATCGTCTATTTAAAAACAAAATGGTTAGTTATTGTATACGTACTAATAATTTTATATATTGTTTTTCGTTGTAATTTAATGTAACTTATTCACGATATATTTAAACATGTGACAGCATAACCTCAATTACTACATTAAAAACGTCATATTTAATGAAGTATCAATACATTTTTGAAAACTTGTGCATTTCTTCTTTTTAATGGTATTCACAGTTTTAGAATGTGATAGATTCTTTTTATAATATTTTTTATAATAATTGAAATTGTCGCATATTGTTTTATGTTATGTTATGGTTATGTTACTGTAAAATTTAATAATGGTAATTTTTAGTCAGTGTTTTTGCTGTAATAAGAGACTTATTTAATATAAATCAATTTTAAAAAACTATGAATTTATTGTTTGTCATAGAAACCTTTAATGTTGCATGGACACGAACGTGCCATAACTCAAATTAAATACAATAGAGAAGGAGATTTGTTATTCTCTTCTAGTAAAGATAAAAAACCAAATGTTTGGTATTCTTTGAATGGAGAACGTCTTGGATCTTTTAATGGACACAATGGTTCTGTATGGTGTATTGATGTTAATTGGGATACAACCAGATTTTTATCCGGAAGTGGTGACAATTCATTAAGAGTTTGGGACTGCCAAACTGGTTTGTATTTCATTCATATTTAATATTTTTCTGCTTTTTTTTATTTGCTTTATTCAGTATTCGATGCTTATGTTACATTACAGGAAAAGAGATAGGTCTACTTCACACAAATAGTTCAGTGAGAACATGTAGCTTTAGTTATTCAGCAAATCTTGCTGTTTATTCAACAGATAAAGCTCTAGGACATCAATGTGAAATGTTCATCATTGATATAAAAAATGTTGATGCAGTATTATCACAAGCAGATGCTATTTCTAGAATTGCTGTAAATGGTCCCAGAATCTCTGCTATTTTATGGGGCGCACTAGATGAAACGATTATTACTGGACATGAAGATGGTGAAATTACTCTTTGGGATGTTAGGGTATGTAATATGCATATTTTCATGTATTTTCATAAGTTAAACATTAAAAATTTTTTTTCTATAATTTTGTAGACAAGGAAGAAGATGACAAGTGTCAAAAGTCATAAATCACAAATAAATGACATGCAATTTAATAAAGATGGCACAATGTTTGTAACTGCATCAAAAGATAATACTGCCAAATTGTTTGACAGTGAATCGTTAATGTTATTGAAAACATATAAAACAGAAAGACCTGTTAATTCTGCTACTATTTCTCCTATTTTTGATCATGTATGTGTTAGAGGTAGTGATTAAAACATTAGTGAAATAGAATGAAAGTTTGTAAAAACTATATTTTTATAGGTGGTTCTTGGAGGAGGTCAAGATGCTATGGATGTTACGACGACGTCCACTCGTCAAGGAAAATTTGATTCTCGATTTTTCCATTTAGTATTTGAAGAAGAATTCGCACGTTTGAAAGGACACTTTGGTCCAATTAATTCTCTAGCATTTCATCCTAATGGTCGTAGCTTTTCAACAGGTGGAGAAGATGGTTATGTTCGTATTAACACATTTGATCAATCTTATTTTGATTTTCACTTTGAATACTAATTTTATGAAATAAAAGAAATAAATATGTATCAATTAAATGAATGGTATAAATTATTTTTTCCACTCACTTTTTTTTCTTGAATATAAACATTAGGATACAGATCTAGTACAATGTTGCAAATAAAGATTTTTTATATTACTTAAATTTATTCACATAAAAAAAAGTTGACATACGTATTATTTTTGTAATAAGAACAAGGAAGATAGTATCATTAATAAATTTAAGATACACCGCTAAATTCAATATAAACTTACGTCTATATTTTAATAGTTTAAATGTTTAAAAAAATATTATTCTTTGTATTTGAAATTCATTTTCAGTAAGTATCGTGCTTTTACCTGAGCAACATCATATACAATATATTCATTGTATAATAAATCAGATTTTTTTGGTAGTTCAGCAGATACAGGCACACCATATGGAACTTCAATACCGTCTTTCATTTTATAAACACTTTTAGGATCAGGTTGTGTTTGTCCACGACCCCATGTTGAATGTTTACCAGTTGGTAATTTTTCAATATAATCCGCATGATATCTTTCATACATATTACCTAATGCCACTTCGCAAAGCAACAACAAACCCGTAGGACTTTCGCTGTTTGTACAACAATAATTCGCAGATTTAGAAACCATGTCTGCGAAATATATACCTTTACCGAACATGTAACCAGTAACGGGAGCTTCTGGTGGTGCTATTCTTAAACCCTGAGCAAGTATACCAGCAAAGTTAGTCGTTCTAGAACCATGCCACAATAATTTTTTGTTGGGTAATTTTCTGAATGGCTTGTATCTGGTGTCTTCCCCTTGTCTTTTAATAACAAATATTTCTTCAATTTCAAGTTCATATAGTGTATGAGTCTTTCCATGAGTATTTTGTACATATTGCTTGATGACATTATATTCCTCACTTTCTTTATCCAATATTTTAATTTCAGTATTAAGTTGTTCATAATGGGCATCAAGCGGATTCTTTGTTGCATCTGTCTTAGTGTGTAAAAGTGAATAGGCAATTTCCATCTCAAGCAACGCGTCCAACATTTGGCACTTATCGTGAATTTCTTCCATCGAATTCAAAATTTTAGGTTCTGATACTCCGAAATTATGAGGTATTAAATTGTAAAATCTATTGGATGCATCAACCAATTGAACTGAATCAAAATTTTTCTTCTTTAATACTTCTTGTAACTCTGTTAGTACTGAATATGCCTTTTGAATTTGTCTTTTAGACAGTTTTCCAAGAGGCATCTTTTCTATATCAATTTCAAATTCAATCATCACTTTTTTCATATTTGTCTCATTGAAAATCAGTTTCATTAAATCTTGAATTGGTAGTTCTAACCCACTCTTAATATCAGAGTCCAACATTTTTGTCTGTACCTCGTCTCCATAATCAATATCAACTGGGTACATTTTATGAGGTACTTTAACAAAATTTTCTCTTTGACTCCAACAATTTCCACTTTTTTCTTCGTACAATGCTTCAAACTGTTCTACACATGTCTCCACAGAGGAGCGCTCTATTTTCGAACCACCAATAGTTGTTCCTATTCTACCCCAGTTTCTAAACAACCAATATTCATTTTTCTTATCGTGCTTTAAAATCTGCATCTTATAATAGCTATTTTTCTTAGTTTGTATGTCTGATAATATCAATGTAACGGTATATTTATTTTTACCCTGTTGATATACATGAGCACAATCTTGTAAACCACTAATTGGATCAACAGTTTCACCTTTTTTTAATTGCAATTTCATTTTACCAGATCCTGACTTTTCATATATACTTTTGCCTTTACTTTTTGAGGCATTAGATTTTTCTGCGAGAACATTAATTCTATCAGACAAGTTGCCACCCCAACTTGAAATAGTTTTCTTTTTAATAAGTGATATAGCAGGTTTTGTATACTCTTTGGCTTCTTCAATAAAGTCTTCAGTAATAACTTGAATATTAAGGTTTTTAGCTTCTTCCATCTTTTTACTCATTTTATCTATTTCACGTTGTGTGGATATAATAGCAGCTACATTCTCATGGAGTTTTGTAATTACTTCTCCTCCTAAGTGTAAAATTTCTTTCTTTAAAGTATTTTTATCTTTTCCTGTGTGTCCTATAATAACGAATTGCATATGTTTTAATGGCCTAGGTTTTGCCTCAACTTTGATTCCAGAATCGACTTCATCTTCTTTTTTTATTATACTAGATGTTGATGGCACAGATATCTTTACAAGTCGCTTTCTAATTTTACATTTCAAAGATTTGCTGTCAAATATTAAAACAGTAATTACTTTCTTTTTTTTACATATATATAGTTACAAATTTATGAAAGTAATATTTAATCATAATTTCTGGAAGTACTTACAGATCAGAATATGTTTCCTTCATATCTGATGATATTATAAATTTTTTTCTATTAGGATTTTGTGTGACATTTTCGCATTTTGTCCATTCTGTCAAATCTCCAGTACATTTGTATCCAGTGCCTGAATTATACACAAGCTGTCCATTACATTTCGGGCATGGCTTTAAAGCTCCAAAATAAATCGCATCCGATAAACGGTCAATTATCTACAACAAATATTTTAATCATTCAAACGCCTATTTACTTAATTGAAAATAAACTTATTAAAATAAAATACATACAGATGAAACACCTTCTGGAATTTGTTGTTCATTTTCTTCCAACATAGCAATAAGATCAGATTTCTTGACAGAAGATAATTTATCTTTAATTTTAAACAATTCGTCATTCTGTTTTTTCATTTCTTTCTCTTCCTCTGCATCTTCTGGTTCTTCCTTTGCTTTTTTAATTGGTGGAGCATCACCTGCTTTAATCTGTGGTAAAGCACTTTTCAGTTTCTTTTGGTCATCTTTGGAAAGTTCATTACTACCAGGTATCATA